TCTAAACCGTTCGTTTAACGTTCGTTTAACTTTCGTTTAACGTTCGTTTAACTTTCGTTTAACGTTCGTTTAACTTTCGTTTGACGTTCGTTTAACGTTCGTTTAACGTTCGTTTAACCTTAGTTTAACGTTTGTTTAACGTTCGTTTAACGTTCGTTTAAAGTTCGTTTAACGTTCGTTTAACGTTCGTTTAACGTTCGTTTAACGTTCGTTTAACCTTAGTTTAACGTTTGTTTAACGTTCGTTTAACGTTCGTTTAAAAGGATCTTCAGCTGGATCGTTCGTTCTGTTCCAAATAGGCGTTTTTGTTTTTAGAGTTAAAGATAGCATAAGATTTTCATAGTTCGTATGAATTCCATATATTTTTCTATTATATAAAATACATTAATTTAGATAATACTATACCCGGTGTTGCCCGTGGAATTTAAAAAAATTGAATTTTGAAAATATTGTGATTTAAAAAAAAATGATTTTTGGAGAGAGAAAAAAATCGATTTGTTTACCCTTTTTTATTTCTGGGGTAATTAAGAGTTCCCTCAAAAAATGTCACCCCCTGCCTTTTCGGTTAATCCGCTATAGCTGACATATAAATATATATACGTACATCCTTACATACAAATAAATATGAACGAAGAGCTTAATCATATAGATTCTTTATGTTATGTTATGTTATGTTATGTTCAAATAGTGTACATTCTTTTATTCAAATGCATTTCTCCACATATTTCAATAAAATTTTATTTCTCTGTTTAAATGTATTTCTCCATATAAATTTCACTACTCATGTTTATAAGTATACTGAATATTCCTGTGCGAGGATAAACAAATGTTTTTAAATGTCTGTTATCTATATTGTAAAGCTCTTCGATCATATATATATATATATATATATATATATGTCAGCTATAGCTGGCCGAACGGCTTAACCGTATGAACTGGATTTGTTTAGGGTCCCGGAAGTAACACAGGCTAAAAATAAAAATTCTCTTTAAATTTTTTTTTAAATCTAATTTTTTATTCCAAAATGCGTTTTCAAAAATTTGCACGGGCAACACCGGGCACTTGAGAAAGTTTTTAATAAAATATTATTACATTAGGGTGTAAATGTACAGGCCACAGGGTGTACATATAGAAATAGATTTCTTATTCTTAATCCTTTTTCCTTGCTGGGGTACTGGAAAACCAGGATACGCCCATTTTTTATGCAAAATATGACAAATGATAAATCATCGGAAAGGTCTTGTTCTCTACTTATAGAATCTGCAAGAAAGACATTGCAAGTTTGTATGATTTTTTTTTTTGCAAAATCCAGTTATATAATTAAATGTTTGCTAATAAAAGTGTCCAAAAAATGATAAAATGTACATTTTTGAAAAGCCCTTGACAATGCCATTTCAAATATGCAAAATATTTTGGAAAATTTTAAATAACCTGATGTGGTTTTACGAAAAACTAAAAATGTGCAAATTTCTTTTGACGTGTTACATGCAAATAAATAGCAAAATTTCCTTTGCAAAACTTGACTAATCCGTTTCCTAATTTCAAAGACTTTCTGAAAAACTAAAATTTTCATAGACTGAAAACTGAAAGTGGGTCAAAACAAAGATTTAGTTTGTTACAGGAAAACGCGAGTCATTCAAGCAGTGTGACTCAGGCAGTTAGTATAAAAGCCCGGTTTAAAATCTAAAGGGAGGGCTCATGGGTACTTAAGAAAAGTCAGAAAATTTCAACAGCATCAGACTAATACTTTTTGAGTACAGGGGGGGGGGGGCCAAAATTCCCCCCCCCCCGAAGGAATAGGGGTTAATATATAATAAAATTGTAATTCAAAAGTATCTCTCTGTAAATTTTGAAGAAAAAGCTATGTTTATTTGTACACCCTGTATAGATACTAAAATATGTATGGTGTCACACAATGGTCCAAACACAATTTAAGTTTGTCCGGCCCCAGGGAAGATATTGAATTTAAAACTATAAAATTTTGTCCAATATTGAAATTTCATAAGAAATGGGAAGAGTTGCAAAAAATTTAAATAAAGTAATTTAGAATCTTGCAAAATATAGATTTTTGGAAAATCAAATTTATTTATTCATTTTTGTTTTCTATAAGACAAAACTTCCAGGGCGCTTCAATTCTAAATTCAATCTTCAATTCTAAATTTTAATTTTTTGCTCTTTTATCAATTTTTTCGTGCGATTTCGAAATATCGAAATTTTTCATCTCCGATTTCTTTCACTTCTAACCATCCATATACCAATTCCCTCTGGAATCGAGTAAGGTCTAAAAACGATTTGGGCACGATCGGTTCAGCCGTTTTGACGTTTATAGGTCACAAACAAACAAAAAGACAAATCGGCAAGCAAAGTTATTTATATAAAATAGAAAACATTTCACTATAAACTAAACAGAACAAATATGTTCGTAATAAACTTAGACAATTCATTCAAAGTCATCACAGAGAGCAACTATGGTTTATATGTACTGGCACGCCTTTAGGCAACAAGAGGAAGTTATGTACACTACAGTATCCATGCAGAAAGCAGAGCCTGTACGTTTTGCTAAAATATGAAGTCTCCGAAAACAAAAAAAAAGCATAGTAAAATTACATTATGTGCTGACATCTATACTTTGGGTGATATCTGGCGGAGACATACAAAGTACGTTTAATAAGTTTTCAGTAACAACTCCCTTTAACGAAAAGCTATTGGGAAGAATCATAGATAAAGATAGATTGCGCATAAGACGAGACATTTTTCATCTTGAAAGATTTAAATGTACAGAGATGTTTAAAGATATTCCTATTATATAGATTAACTAGGTCGGTTGTGAACATTGGCTGTTCTTATGTCATTGAGTACTTGTGGTGTGCATGAGTTCTGTAGAGAGAAATTTAAGTTAGTTTAGTCCTTCTCATGTCCTTCTTCAGTTTTCGTCAATATGATATATTGCTCAGTGAAATAAAATTCACTCCTGAGTGGTTTAATAATTTTGAAATCCATTAAAACACCAAACCACCCCGCTTATCATTGAAGTACACTTTGACCCCTAGAAGTATGAGTTCGCGGACTGTACAATTCTTGGTGATTTTGCGTACATAAGCTATATATGCGCGTTTATTTATTTATCTATGGGAAGAATACACATGTGTTGAATTTATTATAATGTAACCAAAAAATCATTCTCATTAGATAACAACTTTTGCGTTAGATACAAGTTTTTGGAGCTCTAAGGTCACAAAATCCTAAGTCGAATAAATTTTACCCTCTCTTGAAGTGGTAATATTGCTCTGTAATTGTAGCTTCAAAGTTTTATTTTAACAATTAAACCCCAGAAACAGTAGACTTGTATCAAATAGTATTGACAGTTTGTAGATATTATTTTCAATTGCATTTATTTAAAAATAGCCAAGATCTTCAAATCTTTCTGGTAATATTTCAGTATTTAAAATTTCACCGCCTTTTGACCAACATTACCAACCTATTGTTCCCCCAACAGAGGAACGTTAAGTTACTTAACATCCCATGGGCCAATTAAGTACAATAGCGATCCGCTCTGCAAAGTTTTTTTTGAAAAAATTCGCGCATTAGAATCTGAAAAGACGATAAAATTTTTACAACTACTTTTTGGGTAAATTAAAATTTATGCTTAACCACAGGTTCCCTCACGGGCAGCCGTAGTACATTTGAATTTCCGAGCCGGGTCAACCTTTCAGATCCCATTTTCTACTTTACCTAGCTCTATGGACAAAGTTGAAGCGGTCAGACTTCATGCTTCACATTTACTAAAGGGGAAGATTTGCCCTAGAACCTTTGGTAAAGTAAAATTCCTTTAACTTCCCTGTAAAGTATCGTTGTAAATAATTATAAACGTTTTTCGATAAAAACTGTAATTCCTTTCTTTAAACAACTAATAACATTGGCATGACAGAGCTAAAATCTTAAATTTTCTGAAGCAAATTTTACATTTATTTGATTTACGGGTTATCAAAAGATAACAGAATAAATGTTGTTATTCCATCGATTCCCGAAGAATAATAATATTACAAAACAAAATGATAAAATTATTTTTACACTATTTTGATTTATCATACAGAACATAACATGCAATACATATATGGAAAGTTAAATAATTAATTTTTTTGCCCATGAACTTCCACTTGTTTGATTAGTTTGAATAGTCAGTAATACTTTTCAACCCAAATTGTACGGATCATTTTTTCCGCTTAAAACGCAGAGTTCTTGCCACAACTCTGATTTTTAAATCTCTATATATCTTTGCAACCTGATTTAGTAAACTTATGTATTAAAGTTAAATAAGGTTTGTAATATCAAAGGTTTACACCATCGCGGCACTAAATAAGTTCCTTCAAAGTTCTATTCAAAATACATTTGTTACCAGGCCTACTTTAAAGTTATGCCTTGATGTGATGTGATGGAACCATCACATTGACTTTTTTGTAGACCCATTGTATTGATATATTCGCCTACCATTGTACAAACGAAGTTTTTTGCCGAGTAAAAATAATCCTATAAATTTAATAAAAGGCAGAAAAAGTCAATATCGGAGAGTAATGAATTCATTCCTCAAATTTTTCCAAAATATCTTGATCAATAGGCACTACCAACCTCCTTCTCAGATATGAACATTTTTTTTACAGTGAGAACCAAAAAAATCTGGAATAAGAAGACAACTTTTAAACTGAAGTTATGACTTTAAATAGATCATTGAAAACAGAGCTTTTTTACTTTACAAGTGATTTAATACGTTATTAGTTATAGTACTATTTGCTTTTAAACAACATTAAATACACTTATGTGTTGCTACAATGTCGTCTTCCTATAATTCAACAGTTTTCTGGTTCTCCCTGTATAAAAATGAAAAAGAATTTCTTGACTGATAATAATTGCATCCATGTTTTAGACAGAAATAATCAATATCTAAAAAAATGTTTTTCTTTTTTTGTTTTAATTTGAAATATACACTTATTTTTTTCTTCCAGATTTGATATGAGTATCTGGTAGAGTTCTGTATGGAAAACGAGAGTGGTGTAAACTGGAATTACCTAAGACAACATAAATTTGTAAACAGTAGGTTATATTTTTGTTAAAAATATTTAAAAAATCATGAAACAAGAACGCAATAAAATTTTGTAAAAGCGCCAATAATAGTTTCCCATCACTTTCATTGTCGATTAATCCTAAATATAAGGTCCTACAGGGTTCGACCACCATGGATATCAATCCTAATGAGTCTGCATAGAATAAAGATAAAAAGATCCGACGTCTACGGGTATAAAAGGGACTGTAAGCGAAATCTCAAGTGACCCTTTATACAAAGATTGATAGCAATGCGTGATTCTCTTGAACGTACTTTTAAAAGCTTTATTTGCTCAAGTCTTAAATAGATTTCAATGATTATCATTTTAAAACTGATTATTTTCCATTGTGGTTTCTGAAAAGAGAATAAACAATAATAACTTCTATTGTGGTAAAACATAAAGAAATTAATAGAATTTAAAACTTTTAAGCTTAGACCATATCTTCCACCTGATCAACGATGGTAACTTTAGAATGGTGGTGTACTTGTATCCTGAAAAGTGTATAAAATTCAACCAATCAGAGTAGCTTATCAAAAGCCGGGAAATTTGAAATTTTGCGCGCCATTTAAGATTAATATACAGAAACATGGAAGGACTCTCTAATTTTGAAAAACCGGTTCGGGATTAAAGGTTTCCCATTCTAAAGTTCCCAGCTCAGATCAGATAAAGGTTCAATGATACCTTTATTAATCGGGCATCACCATCTTTGAACGATCACTTAAACTTTACGAGTACAATCCCTTTAACCCTGTCTAGACTGTTCGCATATGTTCATAATTTATATATAATTATAGAGATGAACAAGTTCACAAAATCGTGTTTTGTTAAACAAAGTCTAACAAAATAATTATATAGTCTTTCCATACTTTTATAAACTGGGGTGGAATTGAGTTTTAACTATAGAGAATAGAATATATAGAGAGGAATTTACTGGAAAAAAGTGTAAAACGGCCATTTTGTTGTACTGTTTCCATACTGCAGGTGTACTTCACATAATTATGCTATATAACCTGTTGGGCCCTGGAATATCATTTTATAGAAAATCTAAAATTATTGTTAAAAGAAAACCAAATTATGAAATAGGCTGGTTTCATAATTGACCAATGATCATTTCACATAGACTCTATGCCTTCCACTTTACAAACGATGATTTTCCGTTATAACTATAAATCAAATGATGTTTTTATTCACCTAATTCATTATAAAGTTCATTCAACAGTTTAAAAAATTCGAAATTGAAATGGATAGTCTTGGGAATATACTGTATTAATGTACTCTACTGCATATAATTTGTGAACATTTACATGATTTGTACACTTTGAACTCCCTTTCAGGCTGAAAGGGACTGAAAAAATTCATACCGAGAGATTCTTTTAATTCCTCTCTATTCTATTCTCTATGGTTTTAACAAACCTCCGCCAAATTAGAAAACTTTACTTTTATACTATTTACTCTTTACAATTATATTGGGAATACAGAAGTTTTCTGACATAAATCTACGAGAAAGATTTTAAATTTTCCCGGGGTTTCTCAGTATTAGCAAAGGGAAAATTTAAGTGAAAGAGGTTATCGGCAAAATGCTTTTAAAATCTTGAAAAGATGAAATATTTCAAAGATTCGTAAATCTAATTACTGTTTTTTTTTAAGTTTTGCAAAGTGCAGTAATATATCATAATTCATTCTATTTTCTAAAACTAAACTAAATGCGGTTTACTGTATAATGTACATAAAGTGTACAACAATATTTTTTGTTGTAATTTGAATGCCAATAGTGTTTTTCTCAAGAATATATATAGTAATTGTACCAATATTTTGCAAAACGTATTTATCAGTTATTCAAGAACAAAAATATACCGATTAAAAATAATAAAAAATAAAATTTTTTAAGCCTCATAAACAATAGAATATCCAAATTGAATTATTTAAAGGGACTGTAAGTGTAATTTCAATCAAGTGACCCTCCATGCAAAGTAGGCAGCGTATGATTTACAATGGTACCTTTAAAAGCGTTGTCTGATCAAATATGAATTAAGATATCCATATTTTTGTGTCTTTAAACTGTTTATTTTGAATTGTAGGTTCGCTTCAAAAGTGACTTGCGCATGTTTAGAATTTATTTGCATGGAGGGTCACTTGACATTCGGCTTTACAGTCCTTTTAATCCGCCGGACAACATAAAATACGTATACATTTTTTCGCAGGGAAATTAAAGGGATTGTAGGCATAATTTCAAGTGATTCTCCACTTGAAGAGTCGCGTTTCTGATTCCCAGCAGTATCCTTGAATCCTTAGACTGACCTAGGATCAGACTTATCCTTATTAATCTACATAATTACTTGTCATTGTTAAACACTTGATTTGCAAGCTTTTCATATTTTGTAAAAATATTAATATTTACTTTCTAGAAGTTCCAAAAATGTTTTTTTTTCTTTTACATAAAATATTCAGTATTTTTAAGGTGTTACATGTTTTAAGCCGTTTAACGGGAAATAAAACTCTATTTAATTCTGAAAACGTATCCACCCCCAAATTAGGAGTTTTGAACGTATTTGCGCTCAAACTCAGGGTTTACAGATCTTTAAAAAGTTTTATATGTCTCAAATGAATCCGAAAGAAGTTTTCCACAACACTGCATACTCAGTTCAACTACCTTACATAGCCGGTCACTCCCTTTAAGAGATAAACACATTCAGATATTTGGCCTCGATAGTCCATAATCCATATGCAGTCAACAGTTTAACATGGTAACCGGCCACAGCTCGGTAAATCGGCACATTTTTGAAGATTTATACCGTTACTTCTTTTATTTTACAGAGTTCTGACATGCTTGACAATAGTTAATTTTGCCTAAAATACGATGATTATTATTAAACATTAAAACAGGATTGTATAGTTTATTTTCTTTAGTCATTAAACTGAACGGATTTGTCAAAATATATACTTTCCTACTTTTTTAAAATTAAATAAAACAACTTTTTGTTTTTGCCACTAAAGTCTTTAAATGTTGGCCATACAAATTAAAACGGTTCTTGTCTTGGTTTTGTATTTGTAACTGCAGGTAGGATTGTTAATCGTTTTTAAAAACGATAAAAAACTATAGTTTTTATAACGAACCACTTGTTTTAGGAAGATAAGTTTAAGAGTGTTTTTAACGAAGGGTCGTCGTTAACCACCTTCTTTCGATAAAACCATCGTTTTAAAAACAATCGTTTTTTAAAACGTTCGTTTTGTTTTTTCTTCGTCGTTTTTAAAACGAAACGATCGTTTTCAAAAAAGTGAAAATGATTCATCCCTAACTGGAGGTTAAATATTTTACATTATAACACACGAAGAGCAAAGACGACAGTAATTTCAATGTTTATTGGTTCTCTTTGTTTAAATTTTAAAATATGAGAGAATAAATGTAAAAAAATGAGATCATAATGTTATAAAATATTTTTTTATATTATTATAATTAAAGAAAGTCCTGTGGGGGTTTTTAGTTTAATTTCATATTATAATACTCCTACATCACCATATGAGGGGGGGAGGATGTGAGGTCATATTTTTATACTAGCTTAAGTGCCCGGCGTTGAATTAAAAAATCGACATTTGGAAATAAATAAGATTTTTTTCAAAAATAGTTTAAGCTGCTAGGTCAGAAAGCTAATATATATATAGATATATATTAGTGAGTAAATAGATTATAAAACATGAAGAGCAAAGACGACAGTGGTTTCACTATTGTTTGGTTCTCTCCACAATAAAATATAAACAAATGAAAGTAAATACTTTCCGCATATTACCTTTTCATAAATATAATGTCAAAAAATGAGATCATGATGATATAAAATTATGTTTTTTTATCTGAGGATTATAATTAAAGAAAATTTTATTTTCTTAGTTTCTTATAACCTCCTTCATAATTCTAACTAAAGGAACTGGAATACAGAATTATAATACAAATAGGGGGGGGGGGGAGTGAGGTTAAAATGTTTTTTTTTAAATCAGGAGGAATCATGATAAAAGAAAACATTTTTAGACGCTTTTGTTGTAAGTTTACAACATTTACAATTTAAATTTTTTAAAAGGAGGTTGATTGAAATGACGTCTACAGTTCCTTTAATGGTGATTTTTTTTAAACACAAAACACAATTGTTTAATTTTGGGTATTGGAAAGATTTGTGTTGAATAAAAACTAAATCACACAGTTTAATCAAATATATGCTACCAGTACCCACAAACATCGGACGTTACCAATGTCGGACCGTACAAACGTCTATTCTGAACCAATAGAAATAGTATGGCGGTAATATCTATCTTTCTATCTATCTCATTATCCAATTAGAGATAAATCCTTATATCGGCGCCATCAGTAAATGGAAATATTTACTTCTATTGAAACTATAGTGGTATTTGACAAATGTTCAGTTTCTTAAGGGACACCATTGGCATTTTTATCCTTTATATTTAACTGAATTTATTTATTTCTATGTAAGTGTCTGTCTTTTTTTTTGTATGTCCGATTAGAGCACGTAATCGACGCCATAGACCTATTTGCCTTAAACTTTGATTGAGGAATTCTCTAGATCCACAATAATTTTTTAAAGAAAACTGAGTTTCCTTGCATAGTTTGGTCCCCAATCAAGTAATTCATATTATAATAGGTTTATTTTATTACTTTTTTTATACAAAGTTCAAATATGTAAACATTTGGGGTTTTTTGTTTGTTCTAACACCCTGCTAGACTGCCCAGGTCTGTACGAAGTTTTAAATGTATTAGTCGGGTGTTAACATTTATATGACACGATGTTTTTCATGTTTTTATTCCTGTATATTTGCTCCTATAAAACTATTTAGAGTCCCGTCTCCATACTTAACTTTAACAGTTCAACTGTATCCTGGGAGAGATAAAAGCATAAATATTCATATATATACATATCTATGTTCTTCAACGCTATCTTGCTATTTTGAAACCTACCCTGTCCTTATCATCTTATTTATTTGAAACCTACCCTGTCCCTATCATCTTATTTTTTTGAAACCTACCTTGTCACTATCATGTTATTTTGAAACCTACCCTGTCCCTATCATCTTATTTATTTAAAACCTACCCTGTCCCTATCATCTTATTTTTTTAAACCTACCCTGTCCCTATCATCTTATTTCTTTGAAACCTATCCTTTCCCTATCATCTTATTTCTTTGAAACCTACCCTGTCCCTATCATCTTATTTCTTTGAAACCTACCTTGTCCTTATCATCTTATTTTGAAACCTACCCTGTCCTTGTCATCTTATTTTGAAACCTACCCTGTCCCTATCATCTTATTTCTTTGTTTTTATCTTTTTGCATGAAAATTATTTAAAGTTTATAGAGATCTAGATGCCACAACTATAAAAGTTGTGGCATCAGATTTAGGCGTCGCCATCACTAATCACTATAGTTTCAGTAGAAGTAAATATTTCCATTTACTGTTGTAGCGCCGATATAAGGATTTATCTCTAATTGGATAATGAGATAGATGTTACCGCCATGCAATTTCTATTGGTTCAGAATAGACAACAAACACATGACTGAACCCTCATTGGATCAGGCGCTAATGAACTCGGCATACTAGAGTGCCATTGAAATGACTCAACTCAACGCTTAAGCTAGAACCTGAACCCTGATTCGAATACTGTGAAGTATCCCTTTAAAAGACTATAATAATTGAAAAGACGACAAGAAACTAAATGTTGGGTTTAATTTCTCAGTTTGGAGAGACTAAATGTAGATAGGTTGTCACACCTAATCTAATCCAAGAATATCAACAGCTTAACTCTCAAATTTGAAAATATTAGAATACAAAATAAAAAAACAATTAAATTTTCACGTTAAAAATGAATTAATTAAAACATTTTCATGTAGTCCGTTAATCTAACTAATTGATTTTGTGTAGTTTCCTTTTTTGCATCCTATAGTTTATAGAGTGAACTCTAGCAAATAGCAATCCCTTATACATTTTTTTCTGAAAACTAATAAAAAATTATATTTAGGTTTGAAAGGGAGTGAAGCGAGAAATAAAATGAGATGAAGAAAAAAGTTCTAAATAATGGGTCGAGGCAAATAAAAAGATGAAATCCCAATACTCCAAGGTAAACAACAAAAAAATTCATTAAAAATATTCAGCAGTTGTTTCAATCTTTTTCATTATTATTTAAAAACATATTGATAGAGGGTTGAATATCAAACAGAGCAAGTTTAGGCGCAGGATTATGTTTCAGAGTATTGAATGATTCTAATGATGATTTTTATACTCTTTTCTCTCTCTTATCCCAACTTAAGAGTAATCCGCTAATTCCTTCCAAAATGTCGTCTTCACCCCTTATTAGGTCTTATTCTCATCAAAACTCGGAATGCACCAATTCCAACTATGAAAATCCGCCAAATACAACATTAAACCGGTTTTATGAACTAAATTCTGTTGAAAAATAGAGGCAACTTAAATACGAAAACCCGAGCCGTAAATAAGGCTCAACAACAGCTTAGACCCGAGTCGTATTTTCTTGAATTTTTTAAATCGCCGGCTCAGATTTGCCAAAAAATTGGCTAAGCAAAAAAAATTGCAGAAATAAGCAAAAACATGGATTTATTTGATAATTACATATTTTGCATTTCTGTGACTTTTTTTTCAGTAGCTCAACTCTGGCAAGAATAATAGTAATTAAAACGCTTGATTTTGATAAACATCGCAATTTTTTGGGAGCCTATTATTGGGACTGTAAAGTCTAGACTTAGTTTAAGTAAACCTTGATTTAAAGAGTTGTTTCTCCGATTTTTAGCAAACCCTTTAATGATAAATGAGATAACCTTCTTTTTCTCTTGGAAAACTGATTATTTTTAATAGTGGTTTCTTCAGGAAAATAATTTGCAGATTTTGAAGATAAGAAAAAACGATATGTTTTCATTGTTATTAGTTTAAGATTAAAAAGGGAAATTGTGAATCGGATCTGCCACTCAGTCCCTGTAAGAACCAAAAATATCTAAAAAGGACCCAAGAACCGATGACCCCTGGATTACCCCTATACGAGGGCCATAACTAATTAATTTATTAATCAGCAGATCTGCCGAAGTGGAAACTCTTCCGCAAATACTAATTCCTGAAATTTAAACAAACCTCTAAAAATTTAGCAAACATTAATCCACTCTAGATGTTTGAATAAAGATAAATTTTCATCATTATGGAAAACATATTTTTAATATAATGGTCGTCGATTATATCAATACTATGAAGACGACTTTTAATAATAATGCTTTGATCCCTAACAACCATTTTTCAAATTCCAAGTTTACAAGTAAACAACGTCTTAGTATTTCTGCTGGCTTGGTGGTAATCAATATCAAAATAGAAAGTTTTCTTCATTGTATTGATATATACGACAACCACCGTATTGATATATACGACAACCACCGTATTGATATATACGACAACCACCGTATTGATATATACGATCGACGACTGTATTTTTTCAGGATGAATAGACTTGGGCAGTCAACAGGTCTTTTAATAGTCGCGGTCACCAGCACCTTAGCTGTCATATTTCTCAGGAAAACTTTCTAAGACATTCCCTAAACTGTATTGGACATTTTACATCTCTGCAGTTGAAATAGACATTTAAAAAATAAAATAGACACTTCTGATCATAAACATGAATTAGAAACTTCTTAAATTTAAAAAGACATTTATAAACATGCAATAGACATGTCTAAATCCATCATAAACTTTATAAAACTGTCATATAGGCATTATAAAACTGTCAGAGACATTTTGAAATTTTATTTTTATAACTTTCTAAAACTATGAATAGGCATTTATAATATTTTTCTGTACGTTTCTAATACTGTGATGGACATTCCTAAAACTGTGATAGGTATTTTTAGCACCTTCATACATAAAGATATTTCTAGCACTATATGTTTGAAATATCCTTTTAAAAAATTTAAAGAAACCCAAAGATGAACTCTGAATTTCTACCAAAGATTCCCTGGACTGATTTTATTGCATTGCGAAATTTGACAAAACTTTTGGTGTTGTTTAAACAAGAAAGAAAATGTATTTTAAAGTTTAAGATATGCATCAAAGTTTTAAATTTTTAAGTTCGCGATTGTGAATCGTGATTAACCCTCTCTAAATGTAGGTCATTCATTAATAGTCCTTAACTCGTATAGATTCTGACTAATCTGAAAAATGTCTGAAAAAATGAAAATAAACAATAAACATGCATGGATCTAATGTTGGAAATCGGACATAGCCATCTTTGGATGGCGGGTTACTTGATAATGCCCTTACAGTCTTTTAAACAACAGATTCTGTTTACAGGGCACCCTATCCCATCTTCCTGAAAAATAATCTGTCCTTCTAAATTCACCGTCGGTGTTCCTTCCCTTGTTTTTCTGTATAGAGTTGAGTTTGGTCGGATGAGCATACAAGAGTGTCTCAAAAAAGCGTTATTAATTTATTTTAAACACGCGTCCTGTATAGTACCCGGAGTTAAAGAAAAATACAAAACTATTGAAATATTCAAAATCTAAGGAAGGGTAATTAAACAAACAACAAACAAATAGTAAAAAAACTTATTTTTTTAGACATCCTATATAATGAATACATATATAAAACTTTTCTCTTAGTAACCACTAGACCCTACTTCTATTCTTTATATAACAAACAAGATGGAAATTAACCTAAAAGACTGGGGGGGGGGGTCGTGTTTTTGTAGACATGCATTTTTAGCGCTGATCTAATTCTATATAGTTTTTTGATACAAAAATTAGTTCTAATTTCAGCAACTTTGAATGCTTTTTATCGGTAAACCTTCTGATTTTTAGACATTTTTTAGAATACTTGAAAGAAATTATTTATCATTAAAAACAGAAAAGAGTTGGCCGAGTTGGCTAGAATTCTAGAAAAGGAATATATTTATAAAGTTGTCTGCTTGCCATGGTTGGATCAAAAACTATTTTCTTTGTATTAAATCCTCTATCAGTTTGGAAACAAAATTAACTTTGATTGATTCCTTTTCGTTCTCTGAGACTAACTTCATCAGGTTTTATATGATTTGTTTATTTTCCTGATTCACTCTGGGCCGTAGTAAATTTGAATTTGAACAGGGCCTGCCCACTGTGCCCAGTTTGTACTGGCCTGCCAGATAACAACGTGTACTGACCCGATCCTATGGTAGCCTGGTTCTTGACCATATTCTGTACAATACGTCGCCCTAACCAGACTAACATACGACAGGGGTCAGTTTTCTTGGCATAGTCCCGTCGGAGGGCTAACCATGACAACTCCCACGGCGCGTTCAGACTTTTTATAGTACCCGGCCTAATCCTAAGCCTATTTGACCGACCCCACTGGCTTAGTGCACCGTGACTTAGTTATGCTTATTCTATGAATTTTAACGCTGTTAATTTGCAGAAACGCTGTCTTTTAATTGATTGAGTCTTTTCTACAAACTATGAGTTTCCAATTCCTCGCAGACCTTAGATTCTGTAATTGATCGATCAAAGGATCTAAGTTAGGAATATCAAAGCTTTACATCATCAGTTTGTAAAGATTATCTTGGATTGGAAATTTGAATTTGTGGCAAAGACTCAATTTCTTTCTATGCAAACTGTATTATATTTTGAAAATATTTTAATCTTTTTTCGGGAGTATTTCAATCTTTTTTAAACCGCGTTTGAAATCGGAAATTTTTTAGTTTTCTGAAATATGTGACGGCATTTTCATGGGCGTGTACTCTTTAGTTTTCTGAAATATGTTTAATATGTGACGGAATTTTCATGGAATTGTACTCTTTAGTTTTCTGAAATATGTGACGATATTTTCATGGGTTTGTACTCTTTAGTTTTCTGAAATATGTGAAATATGTGACGGAATTTTCATGGACTTGTACTCTAGTTTTCTGAAATATGTGAAATATGTGAAGGCACTTTCATGGGCTTGTACTCTTTAGTTTTCTGAAATTTGTGACATACATGACGACATTTTCATGGGCTTGTACTCTTTACACCGCTGGTTAGTGAGTCTTTTCAATCGACTTCCTTCTACTCAATTTTCAACAAAAAATAAGAATTTCTTAGTCGTTGATTTTAAGATAAACATATTTTCAAGTCTAGTGTTGTGAACCGGACATGCCATGTCATTGGAAATTGTCACCCATTCTATTTCTCGTGATGATTTTGTTCATCAATTAAACTTGAACAAGTTTCAATTTCGCAACGAAAGAAACAGTATTGTTTTCATTAATGATTTATAATTAAGAAATTTCTTTTGAAGAACAATTATGGCTTGTTTTGACTTTTTACAAGTTTCTCAAAACGTCTTGAAAGCTCCAGATTAAAAATTGATAAAAACTATAATTATTAAATCTAATTCGGATTTTTTTTCTTTTTCAATAGAAAGACATTATTAGATAAAAAATGGTAATGATAAATTTTTTTATTTAATAAAGGGGATGGTGGAGTTGGCATGTTTGATGTAGGGGGGGGGGGGGGGGCCTGCCTTCATTTTTGGTTCAAATCTTCCATTTTTTGGCTGAACGCCTAAATAGTGATCGAAATTCCAACTATGAAATTAAATTGAATTTTAATGACCTCTAATGACCTCTAATGACCTCCACAAATAGAAAATATTTCAACTATGGCTTTATGCATATCAAACGAAATTTAGGAACCCAGGGAACACAGTAGCAGCAACAAATCCAGTGTTTGACCTTCTAATGACCTCTTACGACCTCTAATGACCTAAATGACCTCCAAAAATGAAAATGTTTTAACTATGGCTTTATGCATATCAATTAAAAGCTAGGAACACCAGGAGTGCAGTAGCAGTATGGTGTTTATGAACCCGAAGCGATGGTTCTTTCCTATAATCAGCAAATTTTAAAAATGGAACCGCGTTCTCAAAAGTTTTAATCGGGTTTTTGTTTATGCTTTAAAGGAATTGAATTCTTACCTCAACATCCTCAAATTCTAATTTCACATTCCTTATATCTTTGCAACCAATGTCGTAGACTTTTGATATTTCAAGCTTTGCACCAGGATTAGGAAAGAAAACACAAATTTTCTAATCTCAATATCTTTGCAACCTGATAATGTAAGCTTTTAATATTTTAAACCTTAGATAATTTGATCAAAAAGAATTCGAATTTTGAAATATCTAAGGTCTACGAGATTGCGTTGCAGAAAAAACGAGATTGTATAAAACAAGAGTTTGTGGCAAAGACTCAATTCCTTAGAGTTTGAGGCTAGTTTTAAATCTCTTTATCATAAAATTAGAAAATAGCATCGCAAAATATGTACAAAAAAATATAAATAAAGAAAAACTATTAATTTCTATGCTATGAACCATTACAAATGTCCGTTTTTAGACAAGAAAAGTTTTATACGTTTAAGAATCTCAAATGAACATGTTATACAAAATTGCTTTGATAACTAAAAGAATTGTTCACAACGATTTTTATAAAATTTTGTAGAAAAACGTTATTTTATTAAAACTAATGACTTAATAAAAATAAAATTCTGCATTGTGAAAAATAAGTCAGTTTCTAGTGGAGCACAATTAAGGTATAATAAGTCAGATTCTAGTGGAGCACAATTAAGGTATAATAAGTCAGATTCTAGTGAAGCACAATTAAGGTATAATAAGTCAGATTCTAGTGGAGCACAATTAAGGTATAATAAGTCAGATTCTAGTGGAGCACAATTAAGGTATAATAAGTCAGATTCTAGTGGAGCACAATTAAGGTATAATAAGTCAGATTCTAGTGGAGAACAATTAAGGTTTAATTAGTCAGATTCTAGTGGAGCACAATTAAGGTATAACAAGTCAGATTCTAGTGGAGAACAATTAAGCTATAATAAGTCAGATTCTAGTGGAGCACAATTAAGGTATAAGAACCCTTAAATGTTTAAAAACAGAAAGCACAATGCATTTGTTTGTAATACCTCTTGAATAATTTTCAAATTAATTATTCCATTCCATTAATACCCTTGTAACAGGTTGATATTAATTAGTTGTAGACTAGAATACATCTACACTTCCTTTACTACCCTTGTACCAGGTTGATATTAATTAGTTGTCGACTAGAATACATCTACACTTCCTTTAATACCCTTGTACCAGGTTGATATTAATTAGTTGTCGGCTAGAATACATCTACACTTCCTTTACTACCCTTGTACCAGGTTGATATTAATTAGTTGTCGACTAGAATACAACTACACTTCCTTTACTACCCTTGTAACAGGTTGATATTAATTAGTTGTCGACCATCCAAGTTTACTCCTGGATTCGCAAAACTTTCTGATTGCTTCAACAGAATTATCTTTGGGATTTTTTATCCAATCTTTCAACATTGAAACATAGAATAGATGGAAACACACACCTAAAGGGAGTGTTGGCGGTATTTCAAGCAACCCTCATGTCAATTGACATTAAAGTTACGACTTTGCAACTCCATTGCTCCTCTAGTTTAGATTTATTTATTTATTCTGTTACATATAATAAATTAAAAATATTTATGTTATTCTCAAAAGCTCTTTAAAAAAATGAGTTTTGATAAAAAACCATATAATATTTCAATTTTACGTGGATTTTACTTCAGTGTGACGTGAATTCTGTTTTGAAATGCATCGAATTATTTTGTTCGTTCGACCCAAGGTTATAATGCAAGGAAAGTTATTTTAGAGGTGTACGCATCTTTTGTACTTCAGTGTGCTGTCTCTGGGCGGTAATGTAAACACAAGACGGATGTCGAAGCCTTACATAGGATCCATCTTTCACATAAAAAATCAATGAACTATTCTGGTCATAGGAAACTTTTATGTGAATTATCAAATTTATCAAATTTTAATGCTTTTAACGTACCTCCATGGATACTAAACGAACACTGATGCATCTATTCTTGTTTACAAATTCCGCCCAGAGAGAACTGGTTTTAATGTATGTATGCAGAGTATATGCAACTGCAATTAACTTCCCTTGCATTATAACCTTGATTGTAATATGTTTTGCACTGGCATGTTATTCTAGATTTTGAAAAAACTTTTCTTACGAAGAATGGTATTTTTAAAGTTTCTAGATGCAATGTCTAGATATGTTTAGTTTGCTTGTTTATCAGTTCCATTCAGAAACTGCAAGGTTCGCTCTGCAGATATCTTCCGGAAGAAATATATGGTATTTGTTATTATTTTTATTATTATTATTATAATTATTATTATTATTATAATTATCATTATCATTAAAATAACTATTTTCAGTGTTTTTTTAATCATTTTACATTAAATGTTTTTTCTTACTCCTTCCTTAAACTTAAAATTCCGATTAAGATATTTTTCTTAAAACGGTTATAACAGACATTTTCATTGAATTTAAGTTATAACAACAGTTAAAATTTACAAAATTCTTTGCTAGATTTCGTATTAAAAGAAAAAGTAAAGACAAAAATCATTATTTTTTATAAGTTTTCACTCAATCTATTTCTAGTCCTGGAAGCATTGAACGTCTACAATTGATGCCTACTGCCGTTTCTATTGAATTACCGGTCTCCACCACTTTACTACCGATGGCGGTTCAAAACGAGGATATAACTAAAAGCACAGCAATTTCATCCGAAAAACTCCGCTCAAGTAAGTTTAACAAATTAATTAACGAAAAATCTTTTTGAAGTTTATGAATTCCTTTTTTATGGTTTAAAAATAATTTAAAGAACTATTTTTTCAATATCTAATATTGTTGCACATAAAAATATATGTAGATTTTCAGATTATCAGATTATCAGATTATCAGATTATCAGATTCAGATTATCAGATTATCAGATTATCAGATTATCAGATTATCAGATTATCAAATTATCAGATACTAATTTTCCGCTTTCAATAATTTTTTAATCAAAATAAATAAATACAGGAGGATAACGCATACTGGATACGATACAGGATACAGGATACAGGATACAGGATACAGGATACAGGATACAGGATACAGGATACAGGATACAGGATACAGGATACAGGATACAGGATGCAGGATACAGGATACAGGATACAGGATACAGGATGTAAGTTACATGACATCACACAGAAGGAAAAATACAGAGTAGGGGATACATGAAACAATTATAAGTTTAGATACACAATTCTCAATACAGGATACAATAAGGAGAACACAGGATCACAGGATACAATAAAGAGTACACAGGATACAGGAAACATAGATACAGGATTTATTAGCAAAAATAATTATTTCAGATGCCAAGACCTCAACCACAAATCACTGCAATACAGATGTTCTAGTAAACACAATTGTAGAAAATATCCAGGTATTTTTTTGTAGAAAATATCCAGGTATTTATTTCCAGGTAATTATTGTAGAAAATATCCAGGTATTTATTGTAGAAAATATCCAGGTATTTATTGTAGAAAATATCCAGGTAATTATTGTAGAAAATATCCAGGTAATTATTGTTCAACTTTACAGAACAGTTTTAAATTATAAACTGGCATATTTGCTTCGGTAAAAGTTTGTTCATTAAACCGTTGAATATTTAACTTTGAAATATTTTCCACCAGGAATTTCATTTCATGCAAGAAAACGGTTCACGACATAGGGTCAAACGACTTAAGGTCAAACGACCCGGGTCAAACGACATAGTGTCAAACGACTTAGGGTCAAACGAACCGAGTCAAACTACATAGTATCAAACGACATAGTGTCAAACGACTTAGGGGCAAAGGACACGGGTCAAATGACTAGGGTCAAACGACATAGGGTCAAATGAGCTAGGGTCAAATGACAAACGGTCTAAAACACGACAAAGGGTCAAAATAGAAAAAAATATTTTATGTATTATTTCAGGGTTAGGTTAGGTTAAGACAATTTCTGGGCCGGCTATGGGGACAGGCTATGGGGTCCGAGCGCTGCGGCTAGTATTACAGATAAAATTAAAACATAAAATAAAAATATGTATTTTTTCATGGTTAGGTTAGGCAAAGACAATTTCTGGGCCGAGCGCTGAAGCTAGGACAGGGTAGGGGGCCAAGCGCTACGGCTACTAGTTCTAATAAACATAAAAATAGTTGAAATTAACCAAAAACAGTCTAGCTAAAACTTTGCCCGTTTGTCACACTTTTTGACCCTATGTCCTTTTACCCTTTGTTGTTTTTACCCTTTTCGCGTTTTTGACCGTTTGAGGTGACCCTTGGTCGTTTTACCCTATGGCATTTGACCCAAGGTCGGTAAATCATGAAAACGAGTTGAATGGCGTTTACAGGCTGATAGACAGACAGAAAGACAGACAGACAGATATACAAAAAGATGGGTAGACAATTAGACAGATAATAAATAGACTGATAGACAGATAGGCAGATAGACAGATAGACAGATAGACAGAAAGACAGATTGACAGATAGACAGATAGACAGATAGACAGATAGACAGATAAACAGATAGACAGATAGGAAGATAGACAGATAGACAGATAGACATATTGACAGATAGACAGATAGACATATAGACATATAGACAGATATACAGATATACAGATAGACAGATAGACAGATAGACAGATAGACAGATAGACAGATAGACAGATAGACAGATAGACATATAGACAGATATACAGATAGACAGATAGACAGATAGACAGATAGACATATAGACAGATAGACAGAAAGACAGATTGACAGATAGACAGATAGACATATAGACAGATAGGGAGATAGATAAATAGACAGATAGACAGATAGACAGATAGACAGATAGACAGATAGACAGATAGACAGATAGACAGATAGACAGATAGACAGATAGACAGATAGACAGATAGAGAGATAGAAAAATAGACAGATAGACAGATTGACAAATAGACAGATAGACAGATTTTTTTTTCAGCAGAACTCAACTTCAAATATTTCAAATTCAAATGGAACCCAACTTCAGGAAAATTCATAGTTTATAAATCACAAAACCGAATTATGACTTAAAATAATAAAAGCCCGCAATTTTGGAAAATTAGAGAAGCTTTTTGCTTAGTTTTGACTTGAATGAAAAGAATTCTGCTCGCCGATAAGAAAAAAGTGGTAAAATTAATAAGATATTACAGAGAAAGTCTAATTTTTCTTACTTACTAATAACTATCTGGACAATTGAATTTTGAAAAAAATCAATCATATGGAACGTAAATGTAGAGGAAGCACAAAAAGTATAAACGGGTTATTAAATCCAATTAAATGAGGATGTGACACTTCAAAGTCGACCAAGTCTAGAAAATTAATGCAAATTTTCTATAGATTTTTTGTGTATTTTAAATTGTATCGGGATGTGTGAAATGAAAAAATATGAATGATTTACAGAACGAGTGTACAGAAAAACTTCAGTTTTCCACTCAGATAGTTTCAAAGGTAATTTTTTGCAAACGATAAAGGGGGGGGGGGGTTCGAAAAAATTGAATTGGTGGTTGAAATGTTTAGGATAGAAACACTAGGTTTTTTTCCAAGCAAAAATTTCCAATTTTGATCGCTCCTAAATTTTTTTCATTATTTTTTTCATTATTTTCTGAGAAATCATTTGATTTTATTATCGTATCTCTTTAAATATTTTTTTAACTTAAAACAAATTATTTATGTTTTCTGTGATAAATACTGTTCTGTAGATTATGTGAATATTTATTACTAGGTTTCTTGAATTAATTGGATATTATATTTATATCAAATATATATATATATATGTATATATATATATATGTATATATATTTATATATGATATTCGTTTCAGAATCAGGCTTATTAACTTTTCTATACAGAATTCACAGGGTAATCCAATAAATATTGAAATTGATCGACGACTTTTAAATAATCATGTACTCCGAATTCACTTGTGAATGCCCGCACTTGATCTTGGGATTTCCAAAATGTTTCCTGTTTATATCATTCACAATCAACTCTTTCCTTAATCAAGAGATTATTTATGAAACTTTGGAATAGAAAAAAATTAATTTTCTTACTGGTTTCGCAGAAAAAATTAATTTATAAAAAAACAGTTTTGTGAATTTTTTAAAAGTATCATTAACATTGCCTTCAACCATAACTTTTTTTTTTGAGGAAGAATTGAGAATACTTTTTTTTACTTTTTAATATGGATCCAAATAATCTCATACTGAGCTTGTATGTCAAAACTTGAATAATCATGAGGTTACAAAATCGCACGGTTAATTTTCTTGTAATCTAGTGTTTCATAATGTTTCAGAGTAGGGCAGACTTGAAAGGTTAATTATTTAATTCTTTTTTTTGGTTAAAAATTTGAAATGAATTTTGTTTAGGTCATTCATCAGCTCGGTGTAAAATGCCGGAAAAAATCTCGAATAATAAAAGTGTATCATCATCCACAACAAGGTTAACATTTATAAAATAAAAACTTCTTTTTACATTTTATAAGCTTGTTTTAATTGGAAAACAGTTTGAACTAAATTCGCGAAAAAATGTTGCGGGGAAGAAAGACAATAAAAGTCATGGCTTAAGAAACTTAAAGTGTAATGTTATGTGAATCTCCATGCCAAGCTAGCAATGTCTGATTTACAATCTAAACCTTTATCTGATCAAAAAATGTTGAGGATAACTTCGTTTTTCTCACTCGAAAAGTGTTTATTTCTCAATTGTTTCTTTTAAGCAAAAAAATGCAAATAAACAGCTTAAATAAACAAAAACATGCACAAATTCACATATGTATTTTTTTACTTGATCTTACAAAGGTTCAAATTAGGCATTGCCATCTTTGCATGGAGGATCATATATAGTTCCTTAAAAGGTAGTGGAGACCAGTTAGAGAGTCACTCCCTTTAACTCCCAGGTTTTTTTCGGGACAGTCAGTAGGATTTATGATAATAGTGTTCACACTGTTTGATCTCATTATCTTTTGAATTTGAAGGGTTTAGAAAAAAGTTTGAATCTTGATTTTAAATAAAATAAAGTTTTTCTTCATAGGGGCGGGATTAAGAATTCAATGCTAAGTTTTAAATTGACTAAGAGTTGAGAAAACAAATTTACGAGACAATAAAATGAAAATTGTTCCCCGCTGGGGTGTTTGGAATTAATAAAATTCTTGGTTTTCTTTTTTTATTTTTGTATAGACAGTATATTTTCTGATTGGAAGGTGAAAACTTTTTATAAATTGAATATTTTCAGCGCCATTGCACAGCGGAGCAGAGCTAGAGACAAGACTTTTAGGCATTCACCATTCTAATCATATATATTAATACAATATTAACATTCACCATTCTAATCATATATATTAATACAATATTAACATTCACCATTCTAATCATATATATTAATACAATATTAACATTCACCATTCTAATCATATATATTAATACAATATTAACAATCATTCACCATTCTAATCATATATATTAATACAATATTAAAGGGACTAGAACATAATTTCAAAAGACCTTCCATGCAAAGACAGAAATACCCGATTTTCAACAGTACCCTGATCAAAAATGTGGAAGAAACCGTCGTTTTTCTGAAAAAAGTTTATTTGGATGAGTAATTCTCCATTGTTTCTTATTACCAACAAATGCGGAAGTCACTTTCACAGCGAAATCGCAAATGAAAATAATCAGTTTAAGGAAACAAAAACATTGATATCTAATTTATACTTAATCAGACAAAGCTTTCAAGGGTACCGTTGTAAATCAGGTACAGCACTCTTTGCATAAATTATTACTCGAAATTACGCTATCAGTATCTTTAAACCTTAACCTAAACATCTTCTTTCAAATATCAAATTAACGAACATATTTTGAAATTAGTAAGATTTGTTCAGAGTATAATGATAGTGTACATTCAACATTTCGTTCGTAATTTTGAACAAAATGTTCGTAATTTTGAACAAAATGTTCGAGATTTTGATCAAAATGTTAACAATTTTGAACAAAATGTTCGTAATTTTGAACAAAATGTTAATAATTTTGAACCCAGTATATTTAAATATTCTTGTAAACAAGTACAAACTGCCAGCTTTGTGGAGAACCCTGTATATTTAAATATTCTTGTAAACAAGTACAAACTGCCAGCTTTGTGGAGAACCCTGTATATTTAAATATTCTTGTAAACAAGTACAAACTGCCAGCTTTGTGGAGAACCCTGTATATTTAAATATTCTTGTAAACAAGTACAAACTGCCAGCTTTGAATAGTATAGATTGTATATAATAAAGTTAGAATAAAGTTTTCTCTCCCCCAAATAATTCTCACCAAACTTAAATCCAAAGTCAAGAAAATTTGCTAAAACAAATATGGCGAGCAACAGGTTAAAACATTTATATTTTCTTTCTTATTTTCAACGTTTTCTGCCAGAAATCCGCATATTACAAAAAAAATGATTTTCAAATATCTACCATTTAAAAAGTGATAGGTGGTGGGAGGGACACTTGAAAATATGTCAATAGTTCCGTTGATGGTGGAGGGACACTTGAAAATATGTCAATAGTTCGGTTGATGGTGACTGATTACGTTACAGTTGACACAGCTGTATCTGATTATATTGTCCGAACTACTGGTACAAGGCAGTCTAATGATGTATTTGCATCCAATATATTTGAGGTAAGGTAAAATTGAAAATATCTCGCACTTATTAAAATAAGAGGAGAAATTTTCGATTTTTTAAGCAATTACATAAACAACCTTTCAGTATATAAACAGAATTATCTACTGTTCTTTTAAATTTAACCTTTTAATAAATGATTTTTCATAACATATTTAATTTTTTTTTTGGATTTTATCACTAGGCTCTTCTATTTCAATTGTAAACATGTTCTCTTTTTGTACAATGTAAAACAAAAACAAACAAAAATATTGAAGATTTCACAAAAAAATATTATGGATTTTCAAAAAATTTTTAAATTGGATTTGTTAGAGGCAAATTATTTACAATTCTATTATCCATAAACCTTCCCAGGGGTCACGCGAGGTGCCAAAAAAATTGGACCGGTCGGTACTGCCGTTTTGACGTTTATTGGATCCAAACGGACATAGACTGACAGTCAAACAGACAAGCAAAATATGCCTGTTAGCGTGTACGATACCTGCAGGGGGGGGGGGGGTTGAGGATATTGTATTTAAACTATTGTTATGTTATATCTAAACTTTTTATAAAGCGAATACTGAAATGCAATTTATGTAGTTCTTGTTGTAAGGCTAATAGCTTTACTATACGTATTATGTCACTGTTTAGTAAAATGGATCTGTTTACTTGGCACAATTGTTGTGTCTTACAGTGATAACCGGAAAACTGTAAAAGAGGAAGACGACATTTGAAGTGCATTTGATGATGTCACAAAGCCAACAGCTTTACTATTAAGTTCTTAAATCACTTATCAAGTGAAATGAGTGTGCATACAATTGAAAATTTCAGTGCCTCATGTTCATTGGACTATTTAAAGTCATAACTTGAGTCTTAAAGTCGTCTTCCTATTCCAGAGTTTTCTGGTTACCAGTTAAGAATAAAAACACATCTATGTAAAGTAACTCTGTTTTACATGTACAGGAATACCCACTAAGGATAAGACTGTAAAGACGATCGAAAGCTATAAAAATTATGATTTGAAGCTTGATTTTTGGTTTCTGCTTTCAAATGAGTATTTTGTTGGTTTATTTAATGATTCAGCACAGAAATAAACCAGTTTGGGCCTACAAGGAACCCACCCTGAATGCAAGAAAACGGACTAAACAAATTCCGTACAATCGTCTCTGAAGTCTTATCCTTTGTGGATAACCCTGTATATAATTGCATTTTGTGTATTTACAAATAATAATGAAAATCGAATTTTGTTGGAGGCATATTTTTGAAATTTTTCATAAACCTTCCCTCGGGTCAATCAAAATTTGGGCCCGATCGGTTCAGCCGTTTTGACGTTTATTTGATACAAACACACAATCACAGAAAGACAATCAAGTACATACACATATATTCACCATTTTTTGTTTAATTCAAAATATATTTCTTTTCAGAATAGTCCCTTTTTTCGTTTTTTTTTCTGCCGAGTAAAAATTGTAAATGGTAGAAGTTAGTGTAAATGTTAAACGGAAATTATATTCAAGATTCTGTTTAACAGATCGGTAATTCACCCAGATTATATACACTAAACACAACATTCATCCTGTACTCATCCTACAAACTTTAACCCTATTTAGAGAGGGGAAGGGAGGGGGAAGGAGGGGAAGGGAGGGGAAAGGGAGGGAGCAGGGGGAAGGGAAAGGGGAAGAGAGGGGGAAGAACAAAGGGGAAGGGGGCATAGGTCTTAGATAGTACTCCACTTCAAAATAAGATCTCCATTACCCTATTCCTCTGAATTCTCATAAAATATCATTAAAGTCGAGATACTAATACTAAATACATGGCCCTTGGACGTCTGTGCAAAAAGCCATGCAAAATTGCTTTGTAATAATTCTAGGGGAAAAAGTTGGAATGCTAAGAAAGAGAAAATGCTTAGCCAATGTTACCCGGAGGGTATCCATGGGGTTCCTTAAAAATGTCAGCCAATTTGGTCCAGTCGTATGGCCTGACATAGCTCTAATATTTAGGAGGAAAGAGCTTTATATTTAGTTGTTCTTTATTTGTAATGTGATGTCTCATATATTCAGTTTGACTTAGAACGCCAGAAACATCCAGAGAATTTCTAAAAAGGCACTTTGACAATTTTTAAAAAGGTTTCTTTATTATACATAAATTTAAATGGACTGTTTGCGAAAAATGAAAGGGGGTATAGATTGACCTCGAATTGAATTTGTTTTGGATCGACACTAATTTTACCTTCAACTGTTGCGTCTATAAACGGAGAAAATGGAGAAAAAAACAGCTCATACCGTAGAGCGTAGAACCCATACAAATTCACAGAATGGCATTATTCCATTTAGGTCGTAAATATTTAAAAAAAAAATGCAAATCGACTCATTCAGATATTACAACATACAATTGTTAAATATAATTCAATGCATTGGCATATAATTAATATTTTATTTTAATATCTTATTGGAGTAAAACTCATTTAATATTTTGCAAAAAACTTGTGTTCCAGCTGCCGCTGGATTTTTGAACATTCCTGGAAATATGAAAATATCATCATTATCATCAAAAATCCTCGAAACAGGAATGAATATTTTCAAAAGTAACTCCTGGATCATATAAAATAAAATATGTTATGAAATATCTACTTTATGTATATGCATCAAATTGAATTCGACAATTGTAGGTTGTAATATCTGAATGAGTAGTTTTAAATTTAATTGAATTATTTACAATCTGAGTGGAATAATATAACTCTGTGAATTTGTATGGACCCTAAGCTCTTGGGTGTAAGACGTTTTTAACCATGTTAACCTTATATACACAACTGAAGAAGCACACAATTAATAGTGATCAATATCGAATTCATTTCTATATCAGCCTATACCCCCCATTCTTTTTTTGCGAACTCTACCTTTAAATAATAGTAAAAATAAATAAATTGCAGCATACCACTGTAAGCAGGGTTAGAAGACGACATTTTCTGAATTCTTCGGTGTCTCCGAAGTTTTCTGTGGTTTTCTAAGAACGTTGTAATTCGTGAATGTTTCATCTGCTATAGAGTTAAGAATTTGTTTGTTTATGTTAGTTTGCATAGGAATACTGCTGCTTACTTAGTAAAATGAGAAAATCTTAAATATTAAAAAAAGTTGTTAATTTTAACTGTTTATCTTGCAGAAATGCGTTGGAAATTAGTTCAAACAGGGAAAAGGATCATTTCTTGCTGCATTGAGTGTTAATAAATACCAAAAACTGCAAGATAATATGTTTTTCAATGCAAACAGAGAAGAAAAAGAATACAGCATATATAAACTTATAAAAATTAGGAATCCATAATATAACGAATAAAGAATTATTCCATTTTCGAACATAATTCTACTTGGAGACAGTTGGATAATTTCAGCTCATGTTGCGTTTTCGACATTTAAGTCATCTACTCAAATTCAAATCAATCTCAATTATCTAAAGAGTGAACAATACATTTCGCACAGTCGTCTTTTTTATACTTGAGACAAAGTACTGTATATTTGTTAAAAGAATGTATGGACAGTTTAAATTGTACAATGTACATACCTATATCTAATTTTCTTGAATTTTACAAATATATATTCTTTTAGAAATTGGAAAGTTTACTGTTAGAGTCTAGAACACAAAAGAAGTATAGTGTACATGTTACTGTTTTTACTAGGTGAGTATACAGGTGGTCTCAAATAAAATCATGCTTTTTTGTCCTCCATTTTCTATTTCACTCACTAAAAATATAAAGCAAAAAGTTTTCTTATTTCAAATAAAGTTAAATTATCATTTCTCGAGGCTGATTTGATTTTATGCATTTATTTATTTAGTATCGTGATAAATCGGCATCAATATTATTTAAAATCTATATCTTTTTATTTTTTTTTATCTTATTCAAAATATAAAAATTTCATCGTATAAGTTGGAAATATTGCACAGCTCGTTATCTCCCATCTGCAGTTGATAAAACTGTTATATTTTATTTTCCTTCTATAAACTCTATTCAATAAAAGGATAAATATCCTTTTAAACGGTCAGAAAATGTACATAAAATGTACATAAAATGTACATAAAATGTTTATAAAATGTACATAAAATGTACATAAAATGTACGTAAAATTTACTTAAAATGTACATTTTATGTACCTAAAATGTACATAAAATGTGCATAAAATGTACATAAAATGTACATAAATGTACATAAAATGTACATATAATGTAAACAAAATGTACATTAAATGTACATAAAATGTACATAAAATGTACATATAATGTAAACAAAATGTACATTAAATGTACATTAAATGTACATTAAATGTACATTAAATGTACATAAAATGTACATAAGAACCGTAAAGCGTAATTTTAAGTGGCCTTTCATTTGCGGAATGGCATATCTGATTTACTACTTTACTCTGTAAACTGTTGACTCAAGATCAAGGATTTCATTTTTTCCAGAAACGCAGTAAAGAAATTTTATTACTTACTAAGTCGCAGAAAATAATTTGGAAAATCGCTTTGCACATCGTACGCACCGTACACTCCTGTTCAGCGACAATTTAAACACTTTTTCAGAGATAAACAGGGGGCGGAAACGTCATGTGTTTGTGTCTTTACCAAAAGAGTGTGTGTTTGATTAAGTTTACAATAAACTACTCATTATTCAAGCTTAATTATAATTGACGACATTGTTCTGCAATTTCTTTGAATTTAGTCATGTTGTGTGTCTGAGTCAAAAAAGTGTGCGTGTTTAATAACTAACTCGTCTGCAAAGCAGTGTGACTGGCTTTCTCATGTCAGACCAGCGCCATTTCCCTTCCCTTTATTCATGTTCCCTGGAGGTAAATCGATAAACATTGAATGGTTATAAATCAGACATTGTCGTCCTTACATGGAGGGGCACTTGAAATTAATCTCGGTAAAAGTAAAAAATGAAAAATTAGAAAAGTTAAGTTTATTCTTGATCTAGTGATGGGAGTGAAGATTATAGTTTGCGAACTGAGGATTCAAGTTGGGTTTGGACAAAACAATCAAACCTACCCTTCGGCAGGTATAGTCATGGGCAAGGTACTAATGCAAGGAAAGTTATTTCAGAGGTGTACGCATTTTTTGTACTACAGTGTATTGTCTTTGGGCGTAAAAGTAAACACAAGACGGATGTCACAGCCTGACATGGAATCCATTTTCACATAAATAAATCAATGAAGTATTCTGGTCATAGGAAACTATTCTGTGAATTGTCAAAATTATCAAAACTAAATGCTTTTAACCTCCTCGGATACTAAACGAACACTGATGCATCTATTCTTGTTTAAAAATTCCGCCCAGAGAGAACTGGTTTCAATATGTACGCAGAGTATACGCGACCGCAATTAACTTTCCTTGCATTAGTACACCTCTTGTGATGGGCGTCATTCTCAGCTCCGATTTGAACAAGGCGTTATTGGACTTTTAAAAGGATTCAATCAAATCTGACATTTTAGACATATTTGGAAATTTTATTGTAAGTTTACTTTTATCCCATTGATATCAACCAAATGATTTTTTTTAAACGATTGGTAAAATCGGTCAGAAAATATCTTTGTTCAGAGAAGAAAAAAAATAGTAATGCAATAAAAGCATACTTAAAGAAAATTGGATTTTACTGTCGTTAAATATCTCATCTCAGAGTCTTTTGAATTGTGAACAGATAATTGAAAGGAAATTTGAATTCCTTCATGACAAATCTTTTGTAAAGGTTTCGTTTTATTCTTACGACTCCCCCCCCCCTTTTAATATCTTATTATTAAAAGGAAAAGCTGGAAATCAATTTATTGCTCAAAAACAAATGAACAAATTAATTTTAGCGGAGGAAACCTCAAAGAAATATTCATTCTTTTTATTTCTTCTTGCTTTCCCATGCAAATGTAAAGAAACTGAGTTCTTCTCACAAACTCAAATTTACTAATCCACATAACTCATATACTCATAGTTTGAAACATCTACGGGTTGCGAAGATAACATTATCTAGACAAAATTTGGGACAATAACTTTTTTTTGCCTTTTGGGGCGACATTAATAAAATTTATAATTTATTGACGATTCAAATCCCATTCAGTGGAGAGTAAGTAACCCTGTACATTTACAAGAGTTTAGCGAAATGTGTAAATCAAATTTATTTCCATTGAGGTCAAAAATTAATGAATACTTAATTTTTGACTGAAAGAAATAAGATGAAAGAAATGAAAAAAAAAATTCTCCATTGGCAACGACAGTTCAGATTATAAAGAAAAAAATTGGAGTTTATTGGATATTCTCATCGGATATTCTCAATGCTCTCTCATTGGAGACCACCAATTTTTTATTGGAGACCCCCGATATTCATAGGACACCCTCAATTTTTATTGAACCCCACAAACTTTTCACCGGAAACCCCTAACTTTTTACTTTCCATTGAAAACCCTAATATCATCCCAGAGAGACCCACTGAGGGGTCCGCATGAAAATTCGACGAAAATATTTGGGTCCAGGATAAAATTCTTGGGACCTCCAACAAATATTACTCCGATATTACTCCAATGAACACTCCCAGATTTGTGTAATATTCTAAAAGTTGCACTGTTTAATAACACAATCATAATTATTCTGATATCCAACTGTTTAATAACACAATCCTAATTATTCTGATATCCAACTGTTTAATAACACAATCCTAATTATTCTGATATCCAACTGTTTAATAACACAATCCTAATTATTCTGATATCCAACTGTTTAGAAAAAGAATCCTTATTATCCTGATATCCAACTGTTTAATAACACAATCCTAATTATTCTGATAACCAACTGTTTAATAACACAATCCTAATTATTCTGATATCCAACTGTTTAGAAAAAGAATCCTTATTATCCTGATATTCAACTGTTAAGGAAAAGAATCCTTATTATCCTGATATCCAACTGTTTAGGAAAAGAATCCTAATTGTTCTAATATCCAACTGTTTAGGAAAAGAATCCTAATTGTTCTAATATCCAACGGCTCTACCGATGTAGACAGACTGGACTGTCTTCAACATTCAGCAGTTAATACAAAGTAATATTTATTAAAATGATCGGAATTAATAAAAAGCGAGACGATGTTTAATTTACTGCGGATTGTTAAACTACAGTTTACTTGAATCAAACCCTAATTCTACAATCCATATATATTTGCAATCTGATGAAGAACATGATCAAAATATTTGATTTTTCAAACTTCGAGTTTTGCTAGAGCAAAAAGTTAAAATTTAGAATATCAAATGTTTACACCATGAGGTTAAAAAATATGGGGATTATAAAGCATTTGTTTTTAACTTTAGTGTGAATAATTTGCAAAATTCTCAATGATTTTTTTGTAATAGCTTGTAACCATTGAATCACTGTGGAGATGTTTAAAGGCTGGCCGTGAAAAAATCTTTCTTTTTACTGTTCTGGCCTCCAACAAAAAGCTTTAAAACAAAATCTGTAAGAAATGTTGAAAATAATAGTATATTGACAAAGGGAGAAAATGAAACATTCCATCGGCAGCACGCCAAAACCTTGATTTAGTTAGAGCAGCGTGTTGAAAAATAGTATTTAAAGAGTTTTATTGAAATAGCGCACATGAAGATGATCTGTTTTCAATGCCTGACATCCATAAAGAGCTTTTAAGGGTATATAGTTAGGAATTTGACTGTACACAATTCAATTATAATTGTCCTGGAAAAAATCGTTTGCTATACGAGCGATTTAAAAAATCGGCTAGATCTGCAGTTTGCTATACGAGCGATTTAAAAAATCGGCTAGATCTGCAGTTTGCGATACGAGCGATTTAAAAAATCGACTAGATTTTCAGTTTGCTATGCAAGCGTTTTAAAAAATCGATTAGATCTTCAGTTTGCTATCCGACCATTTTAATAATTCGGTTAGATCTTTAGTTTGCTATGCGAGCGATTTAAAAAAATCGGGCAGATATTTAGTTTGTGATTTGTATTTATTTTCCTTAACGCCTTTCAGATAAACTAAAAGATAAAAAATGAAGAAGAAAAAACACAACTTGTAAAACCCCGGAACCTGTTGTGAACACAAACTTCTTTAAACAAATACTTGGTCTCAAGCATTTAGAAACAAAACCAAACAAAATAAAACTTCTTTTTAAAAGAGCTGATAGTTTAGAGCAAGAGATCTCAGTTTTATAATTTAAGCTAGTTCATTTCCGGAGGTTGGCTTAGTTCTCCAGAGATTGGTTTTAAGAGGACTGAATGTCAACGTATTTTAAGTAAACCCAAGGTTAAAGTTAATTACAGTTGCGTATACTTTGCGTACATATTGAAACCAGTTCTCTCTGGGCGGAATTTGTAAACAAGAATAGATGCATCAGTGTTCGTTTAGTATCCGAGGAGGTTAAAAGCATTAAATTTTGATAATTTTGATAATTCACATAATAGTTTCCTATGACCAGAATATTTCATTGATTTTTTATGTGGAAGATGGATCCCATGTCAGGCTTCGACATCCGTCTTGTGTTTACATTACCGCCCAGAGACAGTACACTGCAGTACGAAAGATGCGTACACATCTGAAATAACTTTTCTGGTATTATAACCTTGAATAAACCTTGTTTAAAAAGTTGCTTACCTGGTTCACAACGGTACCCTTTTATCAGAGCATGATACTGAGGAAGATATTGTCATTTTTCTCTTTTAAACATGATGTCAAATTCTGTAAACTTCTTCTTGTTTCTTGTGCACAAATCCGCATGTAAATTTCGAACATAAACAATGATTTAAAGGTATCCAGTTCTTTCTTTCAGATCAAGGATATCTCCATTATTTATCAGAATAAAGGTTTAAAGGTTTTGCAGAGAGTTTATAGAACTAGTTCAACTTTTCCTAGCTAGATAAAGTACTTCTCCCTTTTCATTAATTCCAACCCCATGCAGTTTACAATTGAATGAAACTTTATTAAATAAATGATACGATTTACAGAGTTAAGGAAACTTAAGCACTCTTATCCTCTACTTTTATATGTGGTTTAGGGATGGGCATTGATTTCAAAAATAAAGGAAAAAACAATTTTTTGAAATTTTCAAAACTATGAGACCTTCGCAAAAAAAACAAATGGTTCATTCTTACAATCTGATTGGTTGGAACATTTGAAAACTAAACGATCAAATGTTAGTTTTATTTAATAAAAAAACAATCGTTTTAAAGTTTTTACCTAAAGTAAATCTGACTTTCAAGAAAATTATTTTACTGTATAAACGCCCTTTGGAAACTCTATCTTTGGTTTTCGTATTTTTGTCTAAAAGTGAAAAATGCCCATTCTCAGGTGCAGGCTCTGTATGTTCGTATACAGAAGGATTGCAGGAGGCAATGTCCCCCAACTCTGTTTAATTTTCTTCTCCCCCCCCCCCTCCCCTCATCACTAAATCCTGTATACGCCCTATCTGTAGTCCAACTGAATATCTAAACTTTGAAAGAATAATATTTTTGAATTTTCAGAATAAGCTCTATGTGTGTTGGAAGACCTCACGAGGAGAGAATATAAATATATAAATATATATAATATAAAATTTAAATATTTAGTTTGGGAACTAAATTGAATTCAAGTTCTATGTTTGGTAGATCTAGAACTGTTGTTGTGGGGTCTAAAGGTTGATAGAATAAACAGGCTGTCCCACTAAAATTAAACAAAATTCTAAACAATCAAAGGTTTCAATTTTTAGAAATACAAATATTGAAAATTTAACCTTTTTTGTTTTTTAAACAATATGAATAATGTCTTTTTTACAGTTTTATAGTTTTTCTTTGAAATAAGAACAATTTTTAATAAGTTTTCCTTTTGTTTAATCTAGAATTACAAAGATAACATAACCTTCTAAACTTTCATCTGAAAGTCAATATTTTGTTAATTTAAATGTCCGAAATAGTTAGACTTTGTATCAATTCTCGCTTGCAAATTTTTTTAAAGAAATTTTATTCCTTATCCATACTCCAATACGGAAAAAAATTTCAATATACTTTTTTAATTGGAAAAATTCTACTTTGAATCAAAAAAGAAATGAGTGTTGGACAAATCTTTATAATAAAACAAGACATTCATATATATGTTGCGTATAGCCGGCCAGACGGCTGGACAGATTGGGGTGAAATTTTTTTGTGGACACTTATGGGTGACCGGGGGGTGTCATAGGCTTAAAAAAAATTCGAAATTTTTTTTCAATTTTTTTCAGCTGTACAAAATAAGGTGTAAAATGTAAACCTATGGGCTAAAACCTATTTTAAGTACCTTTCAACATTTAAATATCTAAAATGGATATTTTATCAATTTATAATCTTTTAGAAATGCAGATATCATTTAATCCAAGCTTAAAATTGCAAATGCACTAAAATTTCTATACTAACTCAGGTTTATAACCTAAATTGATATTTAAAACTGAGTTTGGTGTTTTATTGTAGATTTCTATTCTTTTTCTATCATTGGACATTTTTCTTTCTATACAAACGGCTGGGTCAAATTGGCAATTTTTTTAGGGAACCCATTGGTACCCTGGAGGTAACATGGGATAAAAAATTATATTTTTTTAAAAATTTCTTTTACTAATTTTTCACTAATTTAAAAAACAAATTATTCCACGGGCAACGCCGGCCTCTTTAGCTAGTTATTTTATATTCTATATTTGAACAGTGTGTTCGAAATGCTGGCGAGAAAACACTGGAGGTTTACAATGCATGCAGGTAAAATACAGGTTATCTCATTAAACATGAAAACTAAGAGATGATATAAAAATTGTCTTTGATTTATTTCACCTTTCTGGGGACAATGGGTGAATAGAAAAAGTTGTTGTACCCTCTTAATAATGTTTCGCGAACACTCCCTTTAAAATGTGTGCAACTTTGTTTTTTCCACACCAAGCACCTCTGCCCCTTTAGTAAAAGTAAATTCAACCAATATGAAGCATAAAGTCTGACCGCGTCAACCTTGTTGCACCGGCTAGTCCTGTCCATAGAGCTAGGTACAGTACAAACTGGGACCGGAAAGGTTGACCCGGCTAGGAAATTCAAATGTACTACGGCTGCCCGTGACACTATTTGTTATTAAATAGCAAACAAGGATCAACGACGATTTGTAGATCGTCTCTCGATAATCTTGTTCAGCAAGGCAGCATGTATCTTTGACTTTATTTTATTTATTTATTACCGAAGTTTAGTTTATCTAATTTTAAACTTATTTTACTCTCAACATTTAGAAATGTTTGATAAGAAATTATTAAAACGGCTACATTTTGCTTTCAGAAATATTGTTTTTAAGGTGTACAATTCTTATGTTTCTCTAACTTTTTATTTTTTTATTTGTTCAAATATATTCAAGAGAGATGGCTTATATTTACATTTTATACTTTGGTCCAGCCGTTTTCTTGTCAGTCATGATTATCATATTTATCATATTTATCATATTTATCTGTATTTTTATCCTTTTTTATTTTTGTATTCATTTTATTTATTATATCTATCTATCTATAAAGTTGTAATATCATGTTTTTCTGTCTGTTTGTTTGTCCGATCATAACTCATGAACCCCTGGACCTATTTTTCTAAAAGTTTTATTGGAGAACTCAATAGGACCACGGGAATGTTCTTAGCTTGGTTTTGATTTTAAATTTAGTAATTCTACTTTTATAGAGATAAAAAAGCTAAAATCGTAATTTGTAACGAAGCGCGGGTAATCGGTGGGATTAAGCATTACTTCCCTGGGCAACGTTAGGTTCCCAAGCTATTTTTTCATATTTCTCATGTTTATCATATCTTTTTTATTTAATTTTAAAATTCTTTTTTTTTCATTTCAATTATTAGAATTGCAGGTTAATTTGCCCGGGGGGGGGGGTATGCATTTTTCTCATGTACCATTCATATAATATTAGTCATGATTCTTTGCCGCAATAAAAGAATCTTAAAATATCAAATGTTTCATTAAAAAATGAATTTGCTTTCCGTGTATTGTTTAAAAAATTACTTTTATTTAAATATTATAAAATGTTAACAATCGACAATTCTTTTTTAGTTCGTACAAGTTAAAGGACAGAACGAAACAAAGCAAGTTCAATTATTTTCAATCCTTTCTCATTTTTTATTTGACTTTTGTTCAATCTATTTCCTGTGGATGTATGTTGTAGAAACTCTGAAAACGATAATTAATTAAATTAAATAAGTTCTGACTCTAACTGCCTTCTCCTATTAAAGCAAGAACACAAACTATCATGTTTAGTTAAATTTTGACTTTTTTTTAGTTTCTCTTACACTATAGTTTCAGTAGCAGTAAATATTTCCATTTAATGTTAGCGCTGATTTAAGGATTCTCTAATTGGATAATGAGATAGATAGAAAGATAGATGTTACCGCCATGCAATTTTTATTGGTTCAGAATAGACACCAAACACATGACTGGACCTGATTGGATCAGGCGCTAATGGACGCGGCATACAGGAGTGCTTATTGAGTCATTTTTTTGTTAAAGGGACTGTAAGCGTAATTTCAAGTCAACACCCTATTCACAATACCCTTTTAATCTGATCAACAAGTGGAAGAAATCGTCATTTTTTAGGTTTAAAAGTGTTTCTTACCTTCATACGTTTAATAATAACCAGTTTTCAAAATCATGAACATTGATACAGTGATAACCAGAAAACTCCGAAATAAAAAGACGACTTTAAGACTCAATTTATAACTTTGAATAGTCTAATGAAAATGGGACACAGCAATTGTGCAGTGTAAACAGACAAATTTTACATATTAAGTGCTTTAATAAGCGTCTAGATAAAACGATTTGCATTGTAACATCATCAAATACACTTAAGTATTGCTGCGAAGTCGTCTTCCTATTCCAGAATTGTCTGGTTATTACTGTATCAAATTCATACATGATCATACAAGGTGGGTTCCGTTGTGAATTAGAAAGTTTCTATATAACACATGCAGAGACGGCCAATTATCTTTTTATTTAATAACAGATGGTAATTTTTTGATTGAAGTTTAACAAAAATAATTTGTATTTAAATTGGTAATTAAACATACAGTTAAACCCTAAATAAGCCATACATCGAAAGAATTTATCAAATGTCGTCTTGGCAATTTTTCAATGGCTTTTATACTATTTTACCTAAATCTCAGTATTTGCGAAAATAAATAAATAACCATGAATATGCGGGAACAGTTTTAAAGAGCTCCATATAATCATTTAATTAAAAAACTAAATACCTGCAACATTCCATTATCAGAAAGTGAAGAATACGACATTTGATGAATTCTTTCGGTGTATGGCTTATTTAGGGTCTAACTGAATCAAAGCCGAAGAAATTTAATTGAGTTCTTATCAAAATAACTTTGTCGCGTTGTAAGTAAAGGTTAAATCTGACATTTTAAAGCATTTTAAAATAATTTTTTTCTTTCTTAGGTTGCTGATTTTATTCATTGTAATCAAATATTGCCAAAAACCAATTCAAAAACTTTGCAAAAATCCAGTTTTGAATTAAATTATTTTCAAGGAAGGAAAGCAATGAAGGATTTGGTGTTGTCGTCATCTGCTGGGGCTGTGATGTTTGGCACAGGTATACAGGGTGTTTCAATATTTTATATCCAGATTGTTACCCCAGGTACAGGGTGTCCAACAATTTTAAATCCATATATTTACCCTCAAGGTACAAGGTGCTGCAACATTTTATTTACAGATTTTTATACCCTATGAACAGGGTGTTTAAAAATTTTATATCCAGATTTTCACCCGCTGGGTACAGGGTATTTCAACATTTTATACCTAGATTTTCACCCCCAAGGTACAGGGTATTTCAACATTTTATATCCAGAATTTTTGTCCCCAGGTATTTTATAACCAGATATTTTATAACCGGATTTTTACCCCCAGGTATAGCCTACAGGGTGTCCAAACATTTTATATCCAGCTATTGTTACCTCAGGTATAGGGTGTCCAAACATTATATTTCCAGATTGTTACCCCCCAGGTACAAGGTGTTCAATCATGTTCTAGCCAGATTTGTATTCCCCAGGTACAGGGTGTCTATACATTTTAGATCTAGATTTTGCAAAATAAATCTTTTATTGATTAAAAAATCAAAGCAGTGCCTAGTGGCGAAGTCACACAAACAAATCCTAATATGAACACATTTCTACCCATTGTATAATTGCCAAATTAGTTTCTTCTTTCATCAGCGTGCAGTTAGCCAACTATTCTAAACCAACCTTTCAAGCATTTCATCATCACAAACTTAGATTACACGCCAAACCAAACTAACAAGATGCAAATAAGGAAAATTAGGAAAAACAAATATTTCCAAAAAAATTTGCCTTGGCATTTTTCCCCAGTCTATCGGCTGAACCTTAGATTATAATTTCCCCAGTCAATCGGCAGAATCATAGATTATAATTTCCCCAGTCAATCGGCAGAATCATAGATTATAATTTCCCCAGTCAATCGGCAGAATCATACATTATAATTTCCCCAGTCAATCGGCAGAATCATACACTATAATTTCCCCAGTCAATCTGCAGAATCATACATTATAATTTCCCCAGTCAATCTGCAGAATCATACATTATAATTTCCCCAGTCAATCGGCAGAATCATACACTATAATTTCCCCAGTCAATCGGCAGAATCATAGTTTAATATTTGATGAAACCAAAAGAGTGACTGATGACCATATGTGTGACCGTGTAAACGTTAATTTAAGGGACGCTGTATGTGTAGAATATTTAGTCCGATTCACAAAAGTACCCTGTAAGCCTTTTCTTTGTGACGGAGTGTTTCTATCTTGAAAAGAGTTACATTTTGACAATTTACTACATTGTCTTTACAGAATTTTATTCATTTTAATCTGTTGTAAGGGTCGTAAATTTCACTCAGCAAAGTGTATAATACAAAAAACATTTTGAACATTTTTTATGTATCTACTGCAACAAATATAATGAATAAAATTATGAATGTATATGCTCGACAAGGAAAACATTTTTAGATGGAGTGCCGGATTCCCGGTATTGCACGTGCAGAACTCAGATGTCTGGAATAATTTGGTTTGGGCTTTTCATCCGCTGGAGTAGGTAGGACATACATTGAAAGTGAATAGAAACGGTTTTTTAAACAGGGAACGTCATTTTTGTCGACAATTCCGCTATTTACATTAGTTAACTTAAATCTGCAATGCTGTAGATTTTCTAGGTTTTCAGGGTTACCCACAAAAGATGAGACTGCAGAGACGACTGTACATAATTTATACATTCTATTTCCTTATATTTAGGATTCTCTGTAACTTTAATCGTGTTTCTTTCGTTGCCATGTCAATAAATAGGTAATTCAAAGACATTATTCAAGACAAAAGACTTAATGTAACCTTGTAATCGTCATATTTTATGAGTTTCAGGTCGTCTTTACAGTCTCATCCTTTGTGGGTAACCCTGTACATAGACTGCTCACAAGCTCTCATCACGGGATAGGCTAATTAGGCCTACAGTTGTCCCAGCACGACATGCTACATTTCCACAAAAGGTTTTTTACTATCATCTAACGGCTACTTGTTCCATTTATGGATTAAGTTTTTTACAATTTTTATAGAAATACTCTTCTAACTTTTAACATAAAACATGACATTTATGAATTTAGTCTATTTTTTGAAGATATTGTATTTATTATCTAATGGATCCTTAAATATCTCTGAATACAGACGTCTGTTTATTGGTCGCATACTCCAGTTGTACACAATAGAACCTGCTGTGGAAAATATCGCATATTCTAGTCTTTAATAGATCTCTGTATTCTCTTATCTCTGGAAATAACTTAATTGTGGAACTGTGTTGGTTGTAACTCGCCCCTTTACAATTATTCGTTGTGGAAAACTCGTAAAGAACAAATTAAACATTCTAAAAAATATATTTTTCAAAAATGATATGACTTTAATTGGAATGAATTGAACAACAATAATATTAAAATTAAAATAATTAAATTAGAGTAAACAATTTCTTTCAGCCCTTCCCTTATGGGAGGGGAGGCCGGAAAAGGTGTGTGGAGGGGGGGTTAGAGGGGGGGGGGTCTGGTGATTGAATCAAAAAATTATTTCTAGATGATTTAGAACACATTCCTGATTTTAAACGTTCTTTTCAAGCGATTTACGTTCCATTCTGTTTTTTACTAATCATCCCAATATTTTAATAAATGCGTTCTATGCGTTCCGTTCTTTCTTTGTAACAATTGAATCGTTCTTGATAGTTCTGTTCGTTCTCGGGCAAAAACAATTGTTCCTCAGCACTAGGCCTAAGAATCCCTTTCGCAGCTGGAATCTATTGTCAGCCCTCTTCTCAGAATAAATGAAGCGTGGACGGATGGATGTGCTGCCAGATTACAACCCCTGGCAGTTCAATACAAAAACTTTGCAAGATATTAATATTAATCGATTACAAGATATATGTAAACGATTCTCAGGACTACAAGAATTTACAATCACTGCTTTTGTTTACATAAATGCAATTAATTACCCAAAATTCCCAGCGTTTTCCGTAAAATTTTAGAAACACTTGAAATTATGTGTTTGCCAATGGTACCCCAGCCCAAGAGCTGTATTATATAAATTCCTTGAGCTGCAACTTTATAATGGTGGATATCGAGATCCATGCTTGATCCTCTCTTTTTGCTTATCTCAAGAAATACTCAGTCTTCTGATTAATTTCTAGAGATTAGAGATGCGCTCTTTAACTTTTAAAAAAACAGTTTTTAATTTTCCCGCATTCGGGGTGTCTATCAGTTCGACTAATGATCGATCGTACGTTTTGGATTAATGTTTATTAAGACTAACGTTCAAACGGACTACAGTCCTCAAATGTAATAGAATATTTTTTCTAATAAATTCATATGAACATCAATTAATTAATTAATATTTGTTTAAATGCTCAAAGAGCCGGCTTGTGAACAGCTGACTTTAGTTCAATCGGATATTAGTTCAATCGACATATTTGTAATCAAACGTATCTTTATTACATGTAGTAGGATATGTGATATCCAACAAGAGCGGATTAAAAAGAAAATCAAAAGTTTCCTCAGTGTATATTCAGTTTAAGCTATCAGGATTATTTATTCTCTAAAATACGTCAAGGTAGACTGAAAAAATGTTTCTCTCCTTAATTCTATTCCCATATTTTAGGTATGCATTCTGTTCAGTGCAGTGCTGTGCAATGCATGATACACTGCAGTGCTCTACATGGTACACTGCAGTACTCTACAAGGTACACGGCAGTACACTACATGATACACTGCAGTACTCTACATGGTACACTGCAGTACTCTACATGGTACACTGCAGTACTCTACATGGTACACTGCAATAATCTACATAGCACACTGCAGTACTCTACATAGTACACTGCAGTTCACTACATGGTACACTGCAGTACACTGGACTGCAGTTCACTGTACTGCAGTAAGTGTACTGAATACAGTGAGAAAAGTAAACAATGTAAGTGGAACCAAAACATTGTAAACAAATGTATTGCAATTGCAAATTAAGTATCTCAGATTTTATAAAACAGAAATTTATTTCAGAAAAGGTTTTTTATATACATATATATATATATACTTTGCTTGTCTGTTTGTATCCAAAAAACGTCAAAACGATCGGGCCCGGCTTTTGTGTGGGAACTCACATGAGTTTAAAAAATTTGCCTCCAACAAAATTCGATTGTTATTAAATTTTTAGAATGATTTTTATAAAATCCGCGAACTTTATTTGTATTTGTTTTACAATTTAAACAAAGAAGAAATGTTCAAAATTTAAATAGAAAATAGGCACGAAGCGCCCTGAAAGCCTATTAGCTTATATTACTTCTGTATATCATTTAAAGGATTTTAAAAGTGTTCTATTACTATGTTACTTGAGTCAGTAAACGTGTCTCTAAAAGAATTGAGTTTTAGCCACAAATTCAAATGTTCTTATTCCTAAATCTTTGCAACCCGATGTTGTAAACCTTTAATATTTCAAACTATAACGACTATGTGATCCAACAGAATTTATAGTTTGAAATATCTAAGATCTACGACATTTGGTCGCAAAGACAACAGAATTTATAGTTTGAAATATCTAAGATCTACGACATTTGGTCGCAAAGATATAGGGGTTTTGAAAATCAGAGTTTGTGGCAAGAGCCGAATTTGGTTTTAAAAAATTATATTTTCTATACCCCAAAACCATCATCAATACATGGTTCACACAAATGTGCTTCATAATATGTTTTTAAATCACTATTATTCTTTTTGTTTCAATATGTTTACATTCTCTTTTGTCAAAATAATGTTTTTTTTTTAAAATTTGCTTTAACATGATGTTTACTTTCATATAAATGGTTATTTTTTAAAATTGGATAGTTTTTTAAATGTGAAACGTAATAAAGCATTTTTTTCAACGGCATTTTAGAGATAAAATCGTTAATTATGAAATGTGGGGATAGGGATTGTAAATTCAAACTGTTAATAATTAAAAATTAACCCTTTAACCCCAATCCCGGATTGGTTTTAAGGTCTGTTTAAGGTCATTTGATGAGTCGGTGATAAAAATCTGAAATATCCCAAGACATTTTGATAAGTATCTAGAAATTGGTCTGACTTTTTAAAATGTAAAGTGCTTAAAAATTTAAATCCAAAATACTTTTAGAGCTGAAAACTTTAGAATGAGATATCCTTAATCCTTTTATTCTTAATCCTCTTTTTTGAAAATCCCAACTGTATAAAAGTTACGTTTAATACCAATTACAGATACAATGCTATATCGATTGAACTAATATCCGATTGAATTAAAGTCAGGTGTTCACAAGCCGGCTTTTAGAGCATTTAAGCAAATATAAATTATTAACAAACATTAATCCAAAACTTACATTTATTTAATCGATGTTTAGTTCAATTGATATGACACAATTAACACCAGAAATAAAACCAGTTTTTCAAAAGTTAAAGAGTACATCTTAACATGATACGCTGATTGGCTGAATTTCAAACTTCTTTCTTGGATATCGAATGCATATTAAAATAATCTTGTGTTTAGTAAAACCAGGAGTTTAAGCATTAATCTTGATATCCACCATTCTAAAGTTTTCAGCTCAGGTCTTTCTTTACTTCTCTAGGATTTATTTGTTGTATATTTAGTGATCAAATATTGGGCAAAACACATTTTTCATCCGGGGCTTGGATTCTTAAAAAATCCATACTTTGAAATAAAGAATATTGCCTTTTTTATCATTTTTCCAGCCTCCTAATGGAAAGTCCAAATTTTAACTATGGTTAAATGGTTAAAAACGAACAGAAAAAAACCTGATGCCCTCTCTTTAGTTGTTTGTGCTTTATTAAGTCACAATTTTGCCAAACTTTTTTCATAAGTATATTTTCATTAAAATAGCAAGTTTTTACCAATTGTAGTTCCAGCTGCCCGGCCCTCACGGATATCAAAAACTTTTCAGAATTATTTGAGGATTTGGAAACTTATAAGTGACGAGCCTGGGATTTTTGACGTTGAGCCGGTAACTTACAAGTGATGAGCCTGGGATTTTGAAATGATGAGCCGGTATTTTTAAATGATGAGCCGGTAATTTTAAAATGAAGAGTTGGAAACTTTTAAATGATGAGCCGAAGATTATAAAATAAGAACTTGGAAAATGTTAATGATAAGCCGGGGATTTTAAAATGTTGAGCCGGTAACCTGAGCCGGGATTTTTAAAATGAGCATTTTATAGGTGTTTTTTAGTTCTATGCTGTTTTCACGGGCACTGAATTTATTTTATCTTAAAATAGTTTCCCACATCTTTTCTTTCTCAAAAACCAAAATCTGTGCCAGCATTTAGCTCTATAAGTTGCCATTATTTTGTAACACTGCCTGATGGTTATTTTTTTTTAACTATTATCAACTATTTCTGTTCATTAACGATTTCAGAATTAACGCTTTTGCCGCTCGTTAACACACTCTTACGTTAATTTTTTAAAACTTGTCGTGCGTTACCGGAACGCTGCCCAGTCCGTATTGCAAGTGATTAAATTTTTTTCCAATTTATAATTTAGCATATACTATGTTAAATTATACAGTGATGACCAGAAAACTTAAATAGGAAGACGACTTTTGATATCAAGTTATAACAGTAAAAAGTCTTATGAGCATTAGAGACACAGCAATTGTGCAGTGTAAACAGAACCATTTCACTAATTTTGTTATTTGATTAGTGTCTAGTAAAACTATGTGCTTTGTAACAACATCAAATACACTTAAGCATCGTTATACTGTTGTCATCTTCCCTATTCCATTGTTTACTGGTTATCACTGTATTTTTGCAAATTATATTTTTGTCGCAGAAATCTCAAATCAGAGCCAAAAAAGTCCAGTAAAGAAATAATTGTTTTTCCAGTGGTTTTATAAACTTGTTCAATATAATGTGAATTTAACTCAAATCTTATAATTCAGACATTTGAGAATTTTTCTTTTGATGTCAATTCAAATCTTTTCCTGTGAGTAGGACACACATTTCAAGATTAGAAATTTATTTAAATATTTTACATATCACATATTTTGATATAAAAATAATAATGAAAATAACTTTATTTGTATATTCTGCATGCCCAGTAAATGTGCATATATTGTATATATTAATAAAACTGTGAATTTTTTGTAGGAATCAGAAAATATACATACTTGAGTGTAAATTGTTTATTTTATGTATGAGAAAGAAGTTAAAGGAATTGAGTCTTTGTCAATAGCAGACATAATATTATGGCTTTTAAAATTAGGTATTACAATGCTAATTCATAACAAAGACGATATCGAATTCGCCACTGAATTCCCATGTTTTTTGGGACACCCTGTAGCTGCCTATAGGTCAATCTTGCAGATTTTACAATTCTGTCCTTGTCCCTGCAAGCACTTACTGTCTATCACTATTTGATCAACTAAACATTCATTTTTTGCCTTTTCTCTTTCAATATTTATCCTTATATTTGTCATGCGTTAGAAATAAAAATTAAAACAGGACTATTCTGTTAGATTATTTAGTTTCACAGGTGTCTTATAGTCATTAGTTTGTTTTAAAGGTTTTTAAACTCGCTCACAAATTCTGTGTAATGGCAACATTTCAAAATTTTCTTCTCTAGAGTTTTCTTTTATTAAACTTGCAATATTTGTATCCTCTGAGAAAATATAAGGGGGGGGGGGACCCAAAAACGATCGTTTTTGTTTTGTTTTTGGTTTGTTTATGCAAATACTTTCTCTCTGGGTAAATATTTGTCATAAAATACAAATATTTGGAAAAAACCAATTTTGAAATTTATAAAAATTATCATATTTTTGTGGAACCTAAAAACGAACCAAGCTTTGTCCCATCATGTGTCCCATCATGTGTCCCATCATGTGTCATGTCCCAGTCAAAATATCACTTAAAAATGTTGTTTATTGAAATTATGGCTTTTCTCCATCTTTCGTTGTCTATTTTTGTTAAAATAGAAAATATTTGATATAACACAATTTTCATCCTTATCCAATTTTGTAGAAAAAAATTGTACAAAACAAGCTTTTAATATCTTAACTTTTTTATTAGAGCATAGAAACCAAAAAATGAATGCTTCAACTTATAGAGAGTTAGAGGGAAAAAAGGCGAAAGAATAGACGCACTTCTCTTTGAAACAATATATTCTTTAATCTGGAAACTCAATTTGTTTAATTCAATCCTTTGAAGAGATTGTCAACGTAATTTCAACTGATTTCCCATTGAAAAAGTAATTTTAGGAGAATTCTTCAAAACTGAAAATATTCTTTATTTATTTGAACTGAGCTAGACTCTTAAATCTGTTTTCTAATCTCGATATTTACTGTGGACAGTGGCATCTTTTCTTTTGGATATTCCCGCTTGCAAGGTTACAACTATTAATAACAGTTTTCTCACTGATGTGCTAAAATGTCCTGGCGTTTGATAATAGACTAATCTCCAGATTAACCATAAGATGAGATCCAAGCATTGATCTCGATATCCACAATACCGGAGTTCCAAACCTTTGTCTGTTCCTTGTTGGTCCTGTAATACCAAAACATATGTTTGGAGCCTTCATAATCTTCATAATCACCAGAGCAAGGAAGTAGTGTTGTAAAGACCTGGCAACCCTTTACAGTTTGCCAGGTCTAAATAGTTTATGTTTTTCCATGGTATTCATCTTTGGGATCTTAAAAGTAAAATCTCTCTAATGGACTGAACATAAGTTACAGATTTATTCAGGTTTTAAACATGATCAAAGAAACCTCTCTTGGCCATTTTGTAAATTAAGCAAAAACCTTAGAGAATATCAGAAAAACAAGAAGATAAAAACCAGTTTATAGGTTTTATAAATGTAGAATGTGGATATTAACAACTCTAAGCTTCTATTGTATTGCATTTAATTTTTTTCACTACATTACTTTTTCTTTAGTTTCTGAAAAGGCATGTCCCAAAAACCTGAACTGTTAGATTGATTCACTTCTAGAATTTGTTTATTAATCTATTAAATGTCTTTTCTCTGAAGTGTATGCTGTGATACCAAAGCTCAATATGCTCATTTCATCCTGTCTCTGACCATTTTCATTTACTTTTTATTTTCATTTTTATTTTATTTTTATTTTCATTTAATTTTAATTCTATTTTTGTATTTATTTTCTTGCTGTTCGAAACTTCAATCACGTCCGACCTAATTCGGTTTTAGAAAATATATTTATTTTTATATAA